TTCAATAATATGTCTACCCAGCCACGGAAATCGGGAACATCTTCCACAACTCCCATGGTTGCTAAAAAGGGAAAAAGAAAAGCAAAATTAGAAAAGTTGATAAACTTGAAGGGAAAAAGGCACGAACAGGATAAAAAACTTACGTGCAAAGTTCCACTTCTAGGGAAGGGAACGTTATCTTCACCCACTAAACCAACAGTGGGGGCAGCAACAAACCGGGCATACCAGCCACGGTCCTTGTCATACTCAGGGCTCACCAAAACCCTCTTACTCCTGGCTACTAGTGTGAAAACACCATTGCAAAAAAGCCTAGGGAAGTAAAGATGAATTAGGTGAGGGAAAGTAAAGGGAACACCGGCTGAATTGGTTAAATGCCTTAAACAAGCAACAACCCTCCATATGATTGGTCCAATTTGACCCAAACAAACATCGAAGAAACGACAAAAATCAAGAGTGTCTGGGTCAATAGCTGGTTTGAACCCTAAGGTGAAACCTGATTCCTAAGAGATTCCCTGTCATGATAAAAAGACAATTCCGTAGGAACTATCTCTTCTACTAAAGGCTCACGTAATGGTTCAGAAAGTTCTTTACCCCTAGAGGAAGATTTTTGAGAAAGGGAACCTCTGGTTCTAGAAGAAGGACCAGAACTAGGAGATAAAGCAGAAGAGCCTCGTGTAGATCCCGAGCTACGGTGCCTACCTCCCCTTCTGCCTCTACTAAGAGCACTGGGGAAGGTATCAACAATGGAAGCCCTTCTAGGGTTAAGGTTCGATGAAGACATAATGAAAAAAGATGGTACGAAGAAGAAACAATCAGAGATTTGAGAAATAAAGTGTTCAGTAAACTTTATGAAGTAAAGACAAAGAAAGAATTTATATTTATACTGATAGACAACCGTCAAAGGGAAAAGTGCAATGATGGAAGGACCATAATAATGATAACTGACACTTCGTAAACAGGGAAGCCGAAAAGAAAGCCTAAAAAAGTGCTGCAAAATTGCAGAACCAATAAGAAGGTGACACGTGTGAAACACATTAAATGGAAGTGACAATTGAAGCGTCAATTCTGTCACATCATTAATGGTGACAAAAGTTCCCGTTTTAATGAAATCCACTTCCCAAATATTCAATTGATGAATAAATGGCAAGTGGGGGGGACTATCTGTATTGGGAAAATTGAGTTTACATATTAAAGTAATATGAAGATGACGTGTCGTGACACGTAGACTGGTCAAATGGTCAAAGAATTTCAACTAAGCAAGAGGCACGAGTAGCATGGATGCGAGCAAAGGTAAAGGAAGAGGCACGGGCAGACATTCAAAGGATTCGGTGCCCGTACCTATTCAAGACATTTAAATCCAAAAATCAAGAAGAATCAAGGGAATGAATTTGATAGCATATGAGAGTCCAAATACAGTATTTGGTAGGGCCTTAAATGCTGAAAACGTTAGAGAATCTGTCTTGAATATAATGATTAAGTAACGTAGCATTCAATATCATTAATTGTCCATAATGGCCTTGTTATGACAAAGGCAAGACATATATCTCAAAAATAGCTATAAATAGGAGGGGGCTAAACTATTGTAGGGACACGAAAAAGATCATCTGAATATACTTTGGTTTACTTGTTTTATTCCATTATATTCTGGCTATCCAACTTATTTTCTTTTATACATTCTTGCGATTATCAGTAACCCGTGTTCTTCTAAATTATAGCTTTAGTCAAAATTCTATTTTTTTGGTTAAACAGGCCTCTAGTCATACTTCACAAATACAACAATTATTCCTCAATCTCAAACTAGATAGGATCCATCAATTAGCTAAATAAATCATTAAATCCCTGTTCATAGCTTAAAATAATGAATAAAGAGGAATAAAAGGGCAAACAAATTACCGTTTTGGAGCGGCAAGGCTTGCCACAAGCGGTGCAGACGAGATTAAGGACGGCTTCAGTGGACTCACTGAAGTTGGCATGGGAAGTAACTTCGGCGTGTTCTTGTGCTTCTTCTACGGATTTGAAGAGAGTTCCACAATCACCACACTTCAGCGATACACCTGATTTTGCCACTGCTAATTGAATTGAATTGGAATTTGATAAAGCGAGATCTTTATATCTCAATTTGTTTTTTTTTCTCATTCAATTGCAATGGGGTTCCACTGGCCATGTTCTAACCCTATATATGTGTTAAGAAATCTACTAATATGTACACTCTTTTTGTGTTAAGAAATCTACTAATATGTGTTAAGAAAGCAACTAAATTATTTGTTATGATCCAAAAATATTGAAGATATTTTTTGCAATTGTACACTCTTTTTATTTCTTCTTTTGATACAATGACTATTTATTTCAACTATGTATTTTTACTTTTTTAAGGTAATATATATA